CTGGCTTTGAACCGCGATCCTCAGATCTCAGCCTCCTGAGTAGCTAGGATTACAGGCGTGAGCCACCGGTGCCTGGCTGTTATAACTTTTGAGGTGATTAAGGAGTTTGGTCCATGGATAGTCCTTAAACTCACCTCCAAGCATCCAGTGTCCTTCATTCACTGTTAACTGTGTGTCTGTTGTTTTACTCATGTGACTGTTATTGTTTGCGTAGATGGACATTTTACTTCTTCAGCACAGCTTGAGATGGAACGCCTCTGCCTGCCTGCCTGCCTTCCTTCCTTCCTTCCTTCCTTCCTTCCTTCCTTCCTTCCTTCCTTCCTTCCTTCCTTCCTTCCTTCCTTCCTTCCTTCCTTCCTTCCTTCCTTCCTTGTTCCTTTTCTTCCCTTCTTTCCTGAGATTTCCTTTGCTTCTTTCTAAAAGCAAAAGTGAAGTATCAACACTGCCAAAAGAGAAGGAAAAATCTTGTCAGAAATGGAGATGCTTTTGTTGATCTAAATGAAAGACTCCCTGTCTACTGACAGCAGTGGCTGTCAGAAGGGTGGAGTGGAGTAGCGGGGAGGTGGGGTTCTCAGTGCAGAGCTGCATGTGCTGCGTGGGTCAGGGAGGTACACTCCAGACATGGTGGGCTCCCAGCCTGGTGTCTGCATGTTCCGTCACGTGACTGCTCTGTGCCGGGCACCCTGCCCAGACAGCAGCATGAACTGTTCATGGTGTGCCCCGCTGATGTCCAAAGCAGGGTGGGAGGGGCACAGCGTGTGAAGTTCTTGACTGGTGGTGGTGGCTGTTGAAAACTTGAGCACTGGCTGTAGCGTTAGTGGCACCGCAAGGATCATGTAAGAAGGTGGGTATTTTAACGGAGCGGCTGGACACTGTGTTCAGATCCACTAGGAAAATAATTATTAGTGGTGTAATTTTATTTTGGGGTCATGTCAGATAGGATTGTGTTTTAGTCCAGCACGCACTGGTCTAACTTGACTCAGGCGGGACCTGTGACAAGCCCTCGTGGAGGCTCTTTAACATGCAACATGAAACCTTTCAGTCGCTTGCTCTTCAGACCCTGTTAGATGCAGGAATTTGTACTCTATGGTTTCCACAGATGCACAGCAAACGTATTCACTGCAGTTCTGAGTACTTTCTTGGCTTGATTTCTTGTATGACGTCTGAATGGCCCCTGGTTATATGGAATTGGTGCTGGTTTTTGTACTTTTGCTATTATACCTTTCCTGGAAAACAAAGTGAGCCTTTCATGCTTGAGTAAACACATGGGGGTGTATTATGAAACTGTCAAGACTCTGAACAATGGTGCAGGCCCATTTATTCACTTAGGTGGCCCCTGTGAATACTTGAGTACAACTAGCAGAAAGACATGTCAGTGGCTTCCCTGAACACACAGAACCCAACGATGTGATAAAGCGGTCCAGAGGCCCGTGTGCTGGCGCACACCTGCAGCGCCAGCCCTCGGGACACTGAGGCGGGAGACGTGGCCGGGATGCCCACACCTCATTCCAGAACCGAAGAAAACACACAATCCTCTCATTGAGCAGCTCATTGCAGCAGTCACTTGTCAAGGTTCAAAGTCCATTTTATTTACTATCGTTAAAAAGCTATCTTTAAACTGTGGTTATCTGAAAACATGAAGCCGTTGGTGGTGCTGTGTGCTGGCCTCTGTGCTCCCTGTGTTTCCTTCCAGTCAGTCACAGGCGCAAGTGGGTATTTTTATACACGCTCCTTGAAATCTATTTTCTTTTAAAATCATGTTTGCATTGTAAATCCTTTTCAAGTTCTGTGGTCTTTAGAATAGTTTTGTTTGTATAGCCTTGGATAATTTAACAACTAGCTAACCATTTTCCTTATTTGAAATGATTTTTGTTTGTTTAGCAGTGTCTTGTGCTTTTTAGTTAAGGACTCTGCCGCCAAGCCATGCCCTCAGTCCTGCTTTTAATTTTTGTTTTTCAGAGTGTCTCCTGCTTTCTTTGCCTACTAGGCTGTGCTGGGACCGTGGTCCCCCTATCTCTGCCTCCCCAATAGTAACATCATGCCTGACACTTTGAAAAAAATATATGCACACATACATTAATTTAGCAGAAAATAATGTAAAGTATATTTGTGCATTGTCGTTTTTCTTATTTTCAGTAACAGGATGAAGAGAGATGCCTCAGAAGTGCATAAATGGATTTGAAAACATTTCATCTTTTATGTACTGCCCAATTGCCTTTTCAAATGCTGGAGCCTCCTTACATGGCTATATCCTTTCCTTTTACCAATAAAAAGGAGAAGTTAATTAAGGTTAGCATTTAAAGGTTACCAAACATTTGGAGTGCCAGGTAATCTTAATAGAGACTTTGGTCTCTTAGTTAGTTCAATTTCTGTTGTTTGCAAAATAATCTATGCACATAGTTGACAAGTCCCATAAGTTGTATGGGGTGGATGAGCGGGGACAGGAGGGGAAAGCTGCTCCTGTCCCCTCCCTGCCCCCGGCAGTTTGTTGTTGACATTTGAGAACCCAAGCATTTCTGCAAATATGCTTCCATATTGCTAATGGCTTGCTTTGACAGCTTGATTACCCCTCACCCAACACACACTGTACCAGCTATCCATTTCCTGTTGTGGAAGATGAACCCTTCACTCTTACAGTTTCTAAGTCATCCTTTTAATATTGATGGCACATAGATTTCAGTAGAGCTGTCGTAAGAGTATGACTATTAGCTATTCATAATCAAACTTTAAATTATATCTTAATATATTGCACCTTGTATGTTTTCCAGGATTAGTAGCCCTGTCCTTTTTGTGCTTGCTTTATCTATTCTTGTTCCTAATTTAACATTCCCACCGAGTTGCATCTCTACTCCCGATACTCCTAAGCCTGTGAAGGAATTTCCTCAGATGTGTGCTCATCCATCTTTTTCCAGCTGGGAGCCTGTAGATTGTGCTTCAGTGTGGACAGGTTGCTCTCAGAGCCACACCTCAGTTGACATCTTGTGATTCTCTTCATGATTTTTTCCCGGGAATTTGTTTTTTCTTTCTGGGTTTTGTTGATTCTGTTTTCTGGATCTTTTTAAGTTTCTATCCCTATTTTGATGTTTTCCCGAGACAATGCAGGGAAGGTGGTGTTTCGAGGCTGAGTGTCTGCAGACGCCTTTGTTCTGTCGTGTGTGACATTCGGCATGGTGGGTGAGGGTTTGGGTTGGGGTTGGGGAAGAATGACTTGCAGGGGTTCTGTTCTGAAGGCCCTGCCTCCTTGCTGTCTACTTCCGGGCTGCTGGTGAGTCCGTGGCATTGGATTCCCAGCTCTTCACTGAAGCGCTCTCCTTGCCGCTGGGAACTTCCAGAGTCTTATTTTTGGAGTTTTGAGAGTTTACACTGTGCCTTGCTCTGTCTTTTCCTTTTCATTCCTTTTGCTGTCCTGATGGTGTGCCATTTTGAACCAGAAAAACATGTCTTCGGTTTCCTATTTTCTGTCTCTCTGTGGATGTTGTCCCAAGAGGGCTGCGTGCCTCGTTTTCCCTTCCTGTGCCTTGTTTTCGCCCATTTCCCCATCTCAGTTTCCTTCTGAGAGGTTTTATTAACTTTACTTTTAAAACCACTTCATTAGTTTGTTGCTGCTTAGTACTTTTTAATGTCAAAACTTACCATTTGTGACAGCTTGCTACTTCATCTCTGATTTTTCTAGGATATTTTTCCACTGATGAGGTTTTCCTCTGCTCCCTGTGTCGTTTGTTTCTGCTAATGGGTTTGAGTATGCATGTGTAGGGGTGTGCATTCATGCGTGTGAACATGCAAATATACATGCCCTTCCTTCCCCAAGTGACCAGAGAGGCTTGCTTCCGTTTAAGTGAGAGATGCAGGCACTGGGACGTGGGTGAGTGGGCTGCTTGGCAGGTGGGTGCGTGGCTTGCTGCCTGAGCCGCTCCCCACGAATGGTGGGCCCTCAGCATCCGAGAGTCCACGCATGTGCAGGCTGTGGAGAGTGCGGTACTGTGCATGCTGGGTTGCTTTTCCCCTAAAACCTCCCAACTGCTGTCAAAGACGTGTTGCTTTTCAGTGGTCTGAGCTTTTCACTCCCCACCTTGCTTATGAGGCACTTGGTGTGTGGGGGCAGATTTGCACCTACGGATCACACAATGACATGGCACTACTGATGTTGGCCCTGGGCTCTGATTGCATGTGTGGAATTTCAAATTTAGCTTTCACTTTCAGGGGAGAGGGGTGTCTGGCTGGAGCAGGGGGGGGGGGGCGCCTCACTGGCCACAGAGACTGGTGCCCTGGTCTTCCCAGAGTGACCTTCTGCCCCTTGCCCTTGGCTGTGTTTGGAGGTATTTCTCAGGAGGGAAGCTTCCCGTTTCTTTCCTGGCTGTGTATGTAGAGAAGGGAATGCAAGGATGACACGTAAATGTGGATTTGCATCCGCTCTCCTGCCTGCACAGGAGTCTGGTCCCTGATCTTGCTGGCTGCTCCTAGAGCAGGCTTGAGCTTGCTTTGCTTCTTGAACTGGTTTCCATTTCATCACCAGTTTGCTAGCTTCAACAGTTTCGTTGCACATCTACTTCGCCTCCTGTTCCTACTCGTGTTTAACGTCCTTGTGGGTTTATTCTGTGTGTCTAGGTTTATGTTCATCTCTGCCTGAACTCCCCCCCCCCCCCCACTGGCATGCAGTTTTAGTGGAACAGGAGGGAAGGGCACATGCTTAGTCTGCCATGCCTGGTGGAAACATCAGGTGAAGACTCTTTAGATTCTGATATTTGCCTGGGATTGACTATTACTGACAGTTTTTAAAATTCCGGTTAGGTTGACAGGAAGCTGCAGACAGCACTGCGATGTCCGTGTGCCCAGGTGTGTCTGGGCCAGCAGGGCCGCGCCGCAGGGCGCAGGGTGCAGGGCGCAGGGCGCAGCGCCTCCGGAAGTGTGCACTGCCCCCTCCTCCCGAGGCCGGGCTCCGCATCAATCTCGCTGTCAGTCACGACGTTTAAAACTCACCCTGAAACGATCTTGTCTTTCAGCAATTTTTCCAGCTGGTCAAGTTAAGAAAGCTTGGACTCAGCGACAACGAAATTCAGCGGCTCCCTCCGGAGATCGCCAACTTCATGCAGCTGGTGGAGCTGGACGTGTCCCGAAATGGTAAGAGGAGGTGTGCCTGCGTGGTCACCTGGGTGGTGGGAGGTGATGCGCATGCGTAGTCACGGGGGCGGTGAGAAATGCACATGTGTGGTCACCTGGGGAGGTGGGAGATGCGCCTGCGAGGTCACCTGGGAGGTGGGAGGTGCGCTTACATGGTCACCTGGGGAGGCGGGAGGTGATGCACCTGCGTGGTCACCTGGGGAGGTGGGAGATGCGCCTGCGTGGTCACCGGGGAGGTGGGAGGTAATACGCATGCGTGGTCACCGGGGCGGTGTGAGATGCGCCTGCGTGGTCACCTGGGAGGTGGGAGGTGCGCTTACATGGTCACCTGGGAAGGCGGGAGGTGATGCACCTTGCGTGGTCACCTGGGGAGGTGGGAGATGCGCCTGCGTGGTCACCGGGGAGGTGGGAGGTGCGCTTACATGGTCACCTGGGGAGGCGGGAGGTGATGGCACCTGCGTGGTCACCTGGGGAGGTGGAAGGTGCGCTTGCGTGGTCACCTGGGGAGGCGGGAGGTGATGCGCATGCGTGGTCACCGGGGCAGTGTGAGATGCGCATGCGTGGTCAGCGGGGAGGTGGGAGGTGCGCTTGCGTGGTCACCTGGGGAGGCGGGAGGTGATGCGCATGCGTGGTCACCGGGGCGGCGGGAGATGGCCTGCGTGGTCTCCTTGTGTCCCAGCCAGCTTGTAACCAGGGCACCGCGCTTGATAGGACCTTTGATAACTTTTGTCCCTGATTTCTGGAAAGGAGGGGGGAAGCGTCGGTGTGAGACGACTCCCGGCTCTTTGGACCACCAAGAGTTGGTTGAGATGCAGATTCCAGGGGAGGGGTCGGGTTCCGGCCTTGCTTCGAGCCCCAGCCCCGCGCACGGACACAGGCCCGCCGCAGCGCCCTAGAAGTCACCCTGGCCAGCGTGCACACGACCCCTCCGGAGCGCGTTCGAGTTCGCGCTGCACTGTCCAGTCCAGTAAACAGGGAGTGCCAGGCTTTCCCTGGACGGAGCTGACCGCGGCGCCTCTGCGTGGTTCCAGGAGCAGAATCAGACCTTTCCTGGTGTGAGCTTGCTTAGGCGAGCCAAGTTTTGCTCCTCCCTCCCCCAAAGGCAGAGGAGCTCTCCCAGGATTACCTCCCGGGCTGTGCAATGCTGCCCACGCCTTTACAGCTGGCCTGACCTCGGTGGCTCTGCTCTGATAGCTCGGGCAGGAAGTCAGGAGGGTCACGTGCCGTGTGGAGAAGAGTGCAGAGGGCGGAGAGGAGGAGGAGAGTGGTACTGATGGGTTTCCTAGGCTGTGAGGGTTTCTCTGAGGTAGGAAGAGGAGATCCACAGCAGTAGTTGAGGTTGGCAGAAAGGAGTCTGGGCATCACCCTCAGCGCTGGGTCCCTTTGAGTTCCTCTCCATACCCCAGGCTGTGTTCTGTGAAGGAAAGCTCTGCTTCTGGCATGAACTGAGTGCTGAGGAAAATGACAGAGTTTTCATGTCCTAACTTGGTGAGTTGTTCTCTGTTTATATTTCAGACAGATGGCCAAAGAAAGTGTGTCTAGGTGTTTTCTTCCCCGTTCCTAGCTGCTCATGGAACACGACCTCTGGTTGTGTTAGAGAAAGCTTCACTCCACGATAGGATTTTGCTCTCCAAGAATCTAGGGCAGACTTTCTTAATGCATCATGAAGCCTGCCCAAGCGTTAGTAATTTGAATCTTATAGTCTATGCTGTAATTTGACTTACATCACAGTACCGTATCATTATCCATTTAGTTTAGTTTTCCCCAAAGTATAAGGTGTACCCCACTGGCACTACAAGAGATGACTTCTCGTGGACAACAAAACTGTAATTTTTACTATTGAATCACAGTCTCAATTTTGCTCCTTGTTTATGGGTTGCCTTCTGTAAAACTTTATAACACCATGTCACATGTATTCTGCATTTACAGTCTAGTTCTGGTGGTGGTATAGCTCTGTGCTCCTGTTAGTGATCGAAGACAATTGAAAAGAATGATCCAAATAAGGAAGCCAGGAAGCTCGTCCAGTGTGGACAGTGACGGCTGGAGTTAAGGCAGGCGTTGGGACAGTGTTCAGTAGGTGTGGGGTAAGGTGTTGTCCGGCCTAATTGAGGACATTGAGTTCACTTCTCTTGTGGGAAAATAGTACCGCTGATGGAGAAACCATGGCAAAGACTGTATACACTGATTAGTTGTTTTGCAAACTTGAGTGTACAAAACTTCAAAGAAAGTTTTGATACAAATACGAATACCAGCTGGACCACAGGGCACGGAAAGCAGACCGTTTCTCCTGGGTCATCTTTCCCTCTCCCTGAGCTGAGGTCTTGATGGAATAAATGTCTAGGGCAGCCATCGGCTGTCCAGGCAGGGGACGGTGGTCAGTATTTGTGGTCGGCAGTTCTTGGCTTGCTTAATGTCATCTGAGGCCAGGCTGACGGCTGCTGAAATGACCTGTGTTTGCTTCTGCCTGTGCCGGCAGACAAGGCCTTCTGGCAAGCATAAATCCAGAGCGCCTGGCCACCCTCTTGAATTCCGCCTGCCTGCCCTCCCCCACACCCACACAAGTGACACCGGTGTGGCTCACCTTCACCCATGCCGACCCCAGGCTGTTCTCCTGGGGCGGTTCTCGCCCTGTGGGCGGCCTTGCGGGGGCCTGGGGTTCACTCTGTTTAGTATGATGGCCCAGGAGCCGGGTGTCATCATGACTCAGGGGAGTTGAAGTGCCGGGGGAGGCAGCCCACATGGGCACATGGCGCTGGCTTGCTTACCATGCCGTGGGACGTCCTGACAGTCCAGCTCGCTCTCTGGCCTTGCAAGCCTTTTGGCTTTTGGGTTTCGGGGCTCTTCTCTGCCTGAGGTTAATGCCAAACAGATGTAATGGCCGCTTCTCACTGAGCATCCTACACTCAGGCTGGCCAGTGCTCCCTTAACTTCAGCACTCCGCTACACTGCAAGGATTGCTTGTAAGTGGAGATAGAAAGGTATTGGGCTTCTCTGATACTTTCTTGTTGACCCTCCATCTTACAAATGCTGTTTTCTGGGAAGCATTGTTTAAATAATGAGTAGAAACCATTTCAAACACTACAAAAGGGATGAACTTCACAATTAGATCACTTTTGGTAAGCATATTTTATGCTTTTTGCTTATTATCTTTCTTACCTTTCTTTTGTCCTTTTTGCTCCTGTCTAGAAGGTTCTCCTGCACTGTCTGCCTTCCCTGTGTTACGCTGGAACATAGGTGTGGGAGTGTAAATAAACTGTTGTTGCTCTTTCTTCTGTCAAGATAGCAAATATTCCATTACCAGGAAAAGTTGTGACTGTACTGAATAAATTAAAGGTTTATATAGCTTTCCTGTGCATTTTCCTTTTCCTTTTTTTTTAATCAGTAGGTGAGGGCCGAGTTTGAAAACGACGCCTCTGGAAGTATTTTTTTAGGTCAACAAGTTGTCCGTTTAGTCACAGGATCTCAACATGTTTTGTCTATTTTAAGTAAGGCCTATCTTCCTTCCGCCCCATCTCCTGACTCATTCATTCACTGTCTTTACATGGTGGGTTCTTTTTTAGATCTTGGTTTTTCCAAAACAATGATAGATTTACATTCAGCAGGCTCAGTCACAGAAGTAAAAGTAATTGCAGTGGTTTCTCTTATAATAAAATTAAACTCTGGTGTGTGGATGCTAGACTCTACTCCCATTTTAATTCATCAATTTGTGTGTATCACGGTGAGTCTGGTGATTACCAGTTCTAAAAGGGACTTGGGGGCCATACGGCCCACAGCTAGAATTGGTATTTGATCCCAGGTTTCTTGTATTTTCAAGTCACAATTCTGTTTTCCCAGAATAGGAATTTTTAAAATCATTCATCTAGAATTAGTCATTATTAACAGTTTTGTAAATTTTATTTTCCTTTTAGTTACCTGCTTCAGAAAATTGGGGGTCTTTCTCCACATAGCTAATTCTTTCCTGCTTGCACTTACTTAACATAGATTGGAAGCATTTGCTGTCCCTTTCTTTGCACTTAGTGTGTTTGAAAGAAGCAGGTTTGGGCAATAACTCCTGCCTTCTCATCTTTCTGGGGAAAAGATGAGCAGATGGTATGCTTGTCACCAACAGGAAGCTATAGTTTTAGAGGTAAGGTTGATGTAGAAGAGCCAGCCCACAACCACAAATGTGGGATTTCCAGTAGCATGGGTGCAAGCCAGCCAGCCAGGGTGACAAGGTGAGTAAGCGATCTAGAATGCTCTGCCCGATTGAGGAGTCTTGTGTGGAAATAAATCAGGGAGGCACAATTACCCCAGGGCCATGTAGTTGCAGAGTGCTGGGAAGGAATGTGGGCGGAATCAGCCAGGCTTAAATGTGTAACTTATTTTAAGGTTCTGTAAAGCAATCAGGGCTCTGTTTGCCTAACATACATTTTATTTGTGCAAGTGCTTAGTGAAAGGGCCAGACAACCGAAAGCTGTCTTGAAGTATTTAACCTTGTTCAACCTTCTTTGGAGGGTGTTGAAAAACCCCTCCAGTGGAAGGTGTGGCCTTCCATTGAGCTGGGCTGACCTGTGCAGGCCAAGATGAACAAATGCATCTGAGAAACTTAGACAACTCTGGAAGACCCTAGTTCCTCCAACACCAGCCCAGACCAGATGTGGGGAGCTGAGGAGGCTGGAGTAAAGGGTGGGCAGCTGGTGCCAGAGGCCCTGGCTCCTGAGACATGCTGTGCTGGCAGCCCATGATTCCAGGCTGGCCTTGTGTGCATACTCCTCTGGCCTGTGCCTCCTGAGTGCTGGGATTGCACCAGGGACTACCTGGCTTCCTGACGTCTGCAGCCAGTGCGGACTGTGCTGCCTGAATGCAGCAAACAAAGAAGGGCGCACCTGCTAGCTAAATGGAGCCAAATGCTGTAGAATTGTGCTTCAGCCCTCCCACTCCATCTCTGTCTCCCTCCACCCACTCTTTCTGCACAGGAGTCTTTAAAGAGAGAACGCTTCTGCTCTCTGCTGGGCTCTTAC